GCAAGATATAACCGGGGATCACTACGAAATTAGAGGCTCCTTCACCGCGCGATTAGCGCGACACCATGAAAACGGTTTATGTGACGCATCAATTCCTTCCAGCCAATGGACTTGGGGTCCTTCTTCAAGATAGAAAGAAAAGAGAGTTGCCATGCCACTACCAAAGGGACTCTCTCACCACTGAGGTCACTGCTAGAGAAAGAAATGAAGAAGCTGAAGATACAGGGACTACTCATTCTTTCAGAGAATAGATCTTCTGCTATTAGTATTGACTATACTGCAAGTTCCCCTCTGGTCAAGGCAAAAGCATTCTCTAAAGAGAAGCTGCAGTGTGCATTTGTTGACAGTGGGTTCTTCACCAGTAGTGTTGATGGATGCCCAGACGTTTATGCAGTGATGCAGACAAGCAATGTTCCAATTTTTTGCAACCACCCAACTGTGCCGCAAAAGCTTTTCTTGGATACACTACCACAGAGAAGTGTACTAGTAGACAAGGAAGCATATCGTAGTACTACTACTAGTAGTACTAGCTAGTACTACTACGTCACATAGTACGTCCGAATAAAAGTACTACCAGTAGTTTCAGCATAAAAATTGAATGACTCTGCTACAGTATTTATATTTGCAATGTAGTAGATTGTGCAGTTTATTGTTGCATGCATTTAACACGGAAGGGACTAAATAATGTAAATTTGCATTTTCGTCCTCGCATAGAATTTTTGAATTTTCTATTTTTACCATTTTGGGAACCGTTATTTCAGGTGTCTTCGTAGTATGGATAAAAACAAGAATAACCTTGTACAATTATTCATAGTACGTCAATTGTCGCATGAAAGAAAAGATACAGCTTCGGTTGAAAGCGATCTCATGGAATTGTGATCGATCCGTTGATTTTATGCATTATGTAACAGTGCGTTCAACGGGTATAGAATTTTGAATATTTAAGAGGAGGAACAAAATATATTTAAGGCTTTTAGTTTTCTGGACGCGCAGGCATGGCTAGGGCTTCATTCATGTAAGAAAGTGTACTCGCCGTTTTCGCTTTTTTTAGTTTTTTTGTCTGCTTGTCATACGACCGATACAAAGGCCCGCTCATAGAAAATACGATCTTGCAAATCTGACACGGACAGGGAAAACACCATCAAGTCATAATCACAACGTACAGATACGTATAGTTTCTCGCCAGTAGAAACACACAGCAACTTCTAGAAATATAAGTTTTGGGTAAAGAAGAAGTGAACGATATCTAGTCGTTTTTTGTAAGATAAAACGAAACTCTACAATGAAAATTGGTGTAATCGGTTTGTTTGCTGTGCAAACAATTTGTATTGCGTCGATAGGCGTTCGTGCTACCGACGACGAAGGGTTTTGGGCAGCGTATGTCGACGCTGTGGCATCCTTTCCTCCTCCAACTCCAAGCCCAACTCCTTCGCCAACCCCTCCACCTACACCAGGACCCACCCCTCCTCCTTCCCCAGGTCCAACTCCGCCTCCATCTCCAGGTCCAACTCCCCCGCCCTCGCCAGGTCCAACTCCCCCGCCCTCGCCAGGCCCAACCCCTCCACCTACTCCTTCTCCGACCCTACCCCCAACTCTTTCACCAACTGGAGAATGTATGATTGATTCCAGTTTGAACTGTACCGCGATCATGGACAACGAACAGATTGCTTGTGAAGATATTCCTCAAGAAGACAAACCGGTCTGTGAGTGCGAGGAATGCGTCCGCGAACTCAAGTTCAAATATTCAGGTCTGGGATGCTCTGAAGGCTTTGCCGCCTCTGGGAAATGTATCGACGAAGGTCCAAACCCTTTCGTTGCAGCGTATAGAATTGTTGATTGCGAAGATGCCACACAAGTGTTCGCAAGTGGAGAGGCCCAACAAGGTGACGATGTCACCATTGGCGCTGCCGATGGTACCTGCCTTCCTTCTTGCCTCGACGTCACAATATCTGTTCCAGACGGTTCTGCTACTCAAACATTTGAAATTGACTCTGAGTGTGGAGGCAAGAATGGGCTATCGCTGACCTCTGACTACGGTGCATTAGAGTCTATTGGATATAGTTGTTCCGAGACTGATACTCACAACTGTGAGCAAGGTGTGAGCTACGGCCTTCAAGTTTGCAATACTGGGACCACGAACGAAGCTATCTACMAATGGTTCTTGACTATCAATAAGGAGGATATCGATCTCCTTGAAAACATTCCTCCTGAAGATGCTATGCTGAGCCCTGGTGAATGCTTCTACGATACTTATGATGTTGAGGTTGATAGATGCAACGACCTTGAGAACTGTGTAAATATTACTGCAAGTGCCACCAATCCTGTTACGGGACTGCCTCCCAACTGTCCTGGGAAGGATGAAATTAAATTCGGATGGGACCAACCTGTTACTCCTCCACCGACACCTCAACCAAGGTACGATGCGAATTGACCATGAGTTTTTCTTTGTCTAACAATTTAAATGATTTATTCAAGATGAAGAAATCGTGAAAACATAAGATGTCATCTCCTCATAATTCTCTTGTATTCTTTTCAATCGTTTGAAGTCCATTTCCGAGCCCTGCTCCTTCTCCTGAACCCACTTCATCTTGTATCATCGACATCGCCTTAACAGGCTGTCCTAAGTACAACAGCTCCCTCGATAATAACTGTGATGGTCGCCCTCAGGTTATTACCTTCCGATACAATGGCGGTGGCTGTTCGCAATCCGATAATCTCCAGCCCCGTCAGAAATTCTCTTGCAACGATTTTAATGGCGGCCCACCTTTGGCTAGTGGAACCGAGAATTACATTACCGCTTTCCCTACCGGTGGTGATGATATGTACTTTTCTGGTCCCGTTCCTGTTGACGGAAAATTTACTCTGAACGAAGACAAGACATTCGACAAGCTGTCCGCAGACATGACCATTCTAATTTTTGAATCTGAAGGAGGAGATCTTCTGCAAGAAACTTTGGTCCACTTGTCTTGTTCACAGCCTTTGTTTCTCTTCGATAAATTCGGAGCCAATCAAGTTACCGAGTGGATTGAGACTGACGGACGTATTATCTCAGATAAACAATTAGATGTACCGACTGGAACCATCGAAGTTAAGTTGGATACTGCTTCTGATATTGTTAAACCTGTACGTCTATTGGAAATGACCGTTCTTACCAACACTCAGCCAGAACCTATTGATTACACCGACGAAGTTGCCGGTATGGTGTTGGAACCCGGTGCTACGATTGAACTCCCTGGATTTGGCGTTGATATTGAGTTGAGTGAACGCACTCGATACACTTTTTTCACCACCCTCATTGGTGAAACCATCGATGGAACAAATACGTGTAACGGCTTTAGTTTCCTCGAATGTACCATAGGTTTCAACCTAAATCCTACCTTCCCAACAATGGTTCCCACTCCTAGCCCCACCATCACTCCTTACCCTACCCTTGACCCCGAAACGACCGCATGTGATATTTCGGCTGGTATCACCTGCACTGTCCTGAGCCTTCAAGGCATCTCGTGTGATCAAGTCAAGGCTCCTGTGGGCGACTCGTGTCCTGGAGATGCAGAACTTTTGGTTGCTTACTTGAAGTATGATGGATCCTTGGGTGATTCTATATTCCTTGAAGTTGTTTGTGACAAGAGCACCACTTACATTGATAGAACAATCACATCTGGCGAAACGTTCACATTCCGAACTCGTTCCAATTCTTGCGAAGCAGTGAGCTTCCTCGTCTACTCATCCGACCCAGAAATAGGCGGAGATTTGCTTTCTGAAAATATTATTGAAACTGGATGTCCTGGACCTTGGACTCTTGGTGCAACAATAGCTGAAGTTTTCACGTTGGATGCATTCATAGACACCGAAGATGACGGTAGCACCTTCCGTATCTATATCGAAGAAGTCGAGCTCCAATTGGACTACGTCGCTTTCAACAAAGGGGGAAGCCCTCTGGATATCACAGACGGAAGCATTTCTGATCTTTACATTGGGAGCGAAACGAGTCTCGGCGGATCTGTTGCGCTTGACGAGCTTCCTATCCGTCTGGATCCTCGTACACAAAAAGTCCTCCAGACTAATGTCGAGACAATCCAGATGACTGGACGAACAGGAGATGTTGTAACCTTCTCTCTTGCACTCTTTGGCGCTTCCGCTAACCAATTCGCTCTTCCTTGTGAGGACGAAACAAGTGTTACTGTCACTCTTTAAGTTGAAGATCCTGCAAGCCATTTTCAAGGCTCAATACAACCCGTTACTAAATGCAGGGCAAGACCGAAAGATCAAAAGTTCCAATGGAAGACGAATGCAAGCATTACTGGTCGAGATCCCTAGCTACTGTTGCAACCACGATAGTCTTGCGTTGTGCTGACACAACACTTGAAGCCAATACGGGTAGATTGGATAACATCACTCCACTGGTCTTCGTTTGTTCCTTTCGTTTCATATTTCACTGCTCCTGTTACAGCGATGGAAGATGCCAACGACTGGAAAGAGTTGTTTTGATTCCTAACTATATCCAAATAGTACATGGGACGGTGTCTACTAGTTTGCTTACTATATCTTCACTGGTCCGTCCTGCTTTTGCACAACTGAATTATTATTGTCAATTGAGTTTGTTCAAATGTATATAAATAATAAATGAAAAAAAAACTGAATCGCACACTCCTCCTCCTTACATAAACATATTACGCCATTCTGATGTACTATGAAATCTGAAGCGCGAACACAGCGGTTCGATCAATGCTGCTGTTAGAACGCACTCTTATCGTGTTGGAAAGATACTGTTCTGGTATGGATGTTTCATAATTTAACATCGACAAACTAAGTGTACTCATTCCCTTACGTTCTAATACTATGTACGGAATCAAAGATGGAAAACTTCCCTCCACATCGCTTACAACTATATTTTGGAACGATCTGATTCAAGATATTCGTTCTGGATCTGTGTTTTTCCTTACTGTGTCATCAAAAGAAGAAAAATACCTACAGATATGTTCAGAGTAAACCAAACTTCGTACAATCCCTCTCCTCGTCATTTCTTTTCGCCGTGCGTGCGGTATGATCAATCCTAAGGCATTGAACTCTCAATCTTACACAGCTGGTGGTTTTCATCACTACTTGGGAATCTTGTCTTTGTTCTCGTTTTTGCCGTTAGTTTCGTGACTGTTGTTTTGGTTCCCTATCACGACTGCGTCAAGTGTTTTCATGTGATCAGCGATTTGAACAAGAGTTGCATATTCGTCTGTAATTGCCTCCACCCGTAATGTTGGGAACGCCGAGGACGGCGACATCTCTTCGACTTGTTGGTCTTTCGTTGCTGCTATTGGCCCTTCCTTTTTCTTAAAGCCAAAAGTAGAGGGAAAGCCTACTACCATACAGGTTGGCCCCGGCAAAAGGCTCCCCCGGTATTGATTGCCTTTCAAGTCCAAGGTTATGCCATTGGAATCGCTTTCGAACCGTCCAATAGCACCGACACTTCCACCGAATTCACCCAAAGCGACGGCATCCGTGGTATCCGAGACCTCGACGAGCAAGGTGCATTGATTTTCGTAAGTAGAACCACCACCACCGATAATAGAAGGAGGAAGAACGACATCGAACGAATCCAAACTGATGGTTTTGCTTGATTCCTTCTCGTTTCTTGTTGATGTTGCTGTTGTCTCAAAGTGATCTTCGTCGTCGGCGGTGATTCTAATGTCATTCGATTTGATTTCCTTTTGAGACTGTTCATTGGTCTCTGCTTTTTCCCTCTCCTTCTGCGCGCTACCGTTATTGCCTCTGCGGTCCTTTTTCTTTGTATTCTGGGTGACTCTAGACTCTCTCTTCTTTTCGACGCGGATGGCACTGCCACTCTCGTCTTCTACAGAAAAGTCATCATCGTTGACACTAATGCTGCTGTGGCTGCCATTGCCGCAGGTATCGTTCTCATCATTATCATCGCTTTGTTGATGTTGGAGAAATTCCTCGTCCAGATCCCGAACGAAGCCGTAGGTCTTTCTCTTTCTTCCACTACCAGTTGGCATCTTTGGTGATTGCTTTTTCGCAACCAATCTATTGCTTTTCCGTTCTCTCAAACTGTCGCGACGGAGTTGGGTCGGTTTTTCAATAGTGTATGGGACACCTTAATCCTAATGAAAACACTTGAGATTGGTTGAGGCGGAATAGAGGTTGTTAGAAATTGTAACAAAAATAGTAATGCCAATGTGATGCTGGCTGTGATGATCAAAAGAGGTGTTGTAAATTGTCGTTCGCTGATAGATACGTACAGTACATACTCTTCCCTTACCGTACTGTATTCTGCTTCGTTGCAGCACCAGCAGCACTCATTTCATATTAAACCATACCGGGCGGTATGCAGCTCTCATTCTGTAAGAGTAAGAGTAGTACTCTTCGCATTTTCAGTTTCTTTGCCATACGTACCGTACGTACGGCACTTACCGTACCGGATACGGGGACGGAACGATGGCAAAGGATGGATACCATTAATCTCACAAATCCGATTGACTCCCACTTCTTTCGAAGTCTAAGAGATGAGCGCGCCCGCCCGCCCATTTTTAATTTTTTGTTTCTAAAAGAAAAGAAATGATGTTTAGCTTTGATTCATTCGACCAGTATAACCCGGAAGTGACGTCATGGATTCCGACGTCCTTACGTACGTCAGTATGAAAGTCATCGAAGCAATTTTATGAACCAATACCATCGAGGGAAACAGTCTCCCCCAATGCAGATGATATCTAGTGCTATTCGTACGAGTTTTCATTCTGGTGCTGTACCGTATGTACGAGTACCCGTGCTAATGCTTCGAAGTATTCGTACGTACTTACTGTACGATCTGAAATGCGAGAGTTGCACGGTAGGATTTGAATAATCTTTCGATGATGATGATAGCTCTTCGTGTGTTCTGATCCGATCTAAATCATACCTGTGCGAGTACAACACCCTACCGGTACTGTACGCAGTGCTTGCGAGTACAAACTAATGATCTTGTCGACATCTGATGCTCAATACAGTACGTACTCGTACCCTTTGTTCCTGTGTTGCAGGTGTCGATCTGAGATCTATCAGACAAAAATAGGATTCTTATTCTAAAGGCCCACCAGCCTTATCATTAGCTGTAGGATTTATCGTCCCAGCACGAACGAAATTAAAACCAAGGTCATCTCAATCATTGATCAAATCACTGGAATCGTTTGTCAGAAGCGGGTGATATCCAGGATGACAATGGCAAGGATTTCAGGTCCCAAAGCGTCGAGCGTGGTGGTTCTGTTCGTCGTGATTTCTGTTGCCTTATCGATAACTAGGTCGAATGCCTTTGTGTCTCCACCATCGATTGTGAATTTTGCACTTCCCAATCAGCAGCTACAACAAACATACGTTGAGGGGTACGATCGCAGCATCGGCAATGGTCGGTCCAGCCCCCTTTACGCTTCGACCGCAAGCGGAAGCGGGCTTGACGTGATCGACTCCTGGAAACTTTTGCCCGATGGGAGGATTCAGGGTGTCATTTCCGGAAGTGGAGACAAAGTTCTAACGAGTCCGCTCAAGAGAAAACGTGGATTGAAAGAAGCATCGACGGTCCGAACCGTTTCGGGAAGCCGGTACAAACTGGGAACACCTGCAACAGCCGATGGAGGCGACAAAATGAGTCCCGCCCAAATGGGTACCCCGAGGGCAACCGTGGCTGGAGTTAATCTTCCCGGAGGATTCAATGGTCGTGCAACCCAACCACTGAGATCAACTCCCACTGCGTCACAGGATCGTGTCTTGAACGACTACGTAGCTAACAAAGGACGAGCAACGATGCCAGTTGGTTCATCGGACTCAACGGGATCCGACAGTAACGAAAAAAAGAAAATCAAGTTTTTGGTGGTGAGTACGTTGATGGATTGATGTACGGATTAGTTTTTTGTACACCCATCGTATTAGCTTGGTGATAACCGTTTGACTATTTTTCGGTTCAATTATTCAATATTGATGAGAGCACTTTCACGCCAACTGAGTGTGCGTGGTGGCCACGGACGCTCGTTTTTTTCACAACGACTTATTCAATTATTTGCAAACGATCATATTGATGCTGCCTTTTTTGTCTTCGAATCTTTTTGCTGATGCATTCAATATATGCATGTTCTTGATTCAAACATGGTACTTGCGACACAATCATCTTGTACATAAAAATTCAACGGCCTCTTGACAGCCTTTCGTTGGTGGAGCGTCTGCCCTCGCAGTCGGAGCCGCGATTGGTTCCGGAGTTGTAAGTGACAAGGGAGTTAATCTTGACAAGCTACCAGATGCTTCCAAAGTATTAGAATCAACCAAGTCTCTGGGGTTGCCCGACATCAAGTCGTTGAAGGCACCTGCGATTCCTTCCCCCGGTATTTCTCTTCCAAAGTTCGAAGGTGTGCCGTCTTTGCCGACACCCAAGTTGCCAGAAATTGGAATGAAATTGCCGGACGTAAAGTTGCCCGACGTAAAATTTCCCGAAGTAAAATTGCCGGATGGGCCTAAGCTGCCCAACCTCCCCTCTGTCAATATCAATGTGGCCGATGGAGTGAAAAACCTTGGTGATGCCGCTGGTGGGGCCATAGGAGGTGCTTTGGAGAGCACTGGGATAAAACTACCTGAATCTCCATTGTCAAACAAACCAAAAGCCCCTCCAAGTGTAGGAATGGGCCCATACAAAGTTCCGATGCCGTACCTCGACGAGAAAATTGTGCAAGCTAGAAAGGAAGCAGCAGCGAAGGAAGAGGCTGAGCGAATCGCGAAAGTCAAGGCAGAAGAAGAAGCACGCCAGAAAGCAGCAGACGAACTCCTTGCACAGCAAGCCCGGGAACGCGAACAAGCGATGAAAATGCGAGCAGAAGAGGAGGCACGAATCCGACAAGAAGCAGAAGAGCGTATCCAAAAAGCGGAACAAGAAAAAGCTCTTCTCGACGCCGAAGCTAAAAAGGAGGCTGCTATTCTCCGTGCTGAAGTAGAAAAATCGAAAGCCGAAATCGAGAAAACAAAAGCCGAAGTAGAAAAAGCAAGACAAGATGCTTTGGAAAAAGAGAAGGCCGCAGCGGAAGAAGCGGCCCGATTGAAGAAGGAGGCTGATGCTGCGCTGTTGAAAGAGCAGGTAGCAAGGGATGAATTCACTCTGAAGCTGCAGGCAGCAGAAATGGCTCAACTCAAACAGGCCAAAGATTTCGCTGCAAAACTAGAAGAAGCACAAGAAGCAGCCGCGAAAGAACGTGCTCTCGCAGTGGAGAGTGCTGCAGCAGAGAAGTTGGCCGAGGAAGCAGCCGTGAAGGAAGCAGCAGCAATCGCCCAAGTCCGAAAGATGAGTATCGGTGCGAATGCAGCTCGAAAAGCGACTTATGAACAACCGTCAATGTCCACGTACGAAGAATGGCAGAACCGACAGAAACTTGCATACCAAGCGCGCATCAAAGAAGCCGCATCTGGGATGAGCAAACAAGAAGCCGTTGTGTTGAGTACAACTTCACCTTCGTCCCAGGACAATCTATCAACGTACAAAAGATGGCAACAACGCGTAGTTGCAAAACAGGTCGTTTCCATGTCGGCCGAACCTGTAACTGCAGCCTTTGTCACCGGAGCACCTGCACCACTTTCAAATCAACTTGTTTCTGGATCGACGAAGCTCTCTGACTTCGCTACAACGCTCAACGGCGCCTTGGGATACACTATTGCTGGTTCTTCTGCTCTGATAGCTGGACTTACTTATGGTTACAGTTATCAAAAACTTCAGGACGAGTTAGCGTCAGTCGAAGAAACAGCACCGCCAGCGACCACAAGAAGTACTTCACCACCCGTCACCTCTTCAGTAACGGTAAAACCGCCACCGATTAGCAAAAAGGTTTCTCCACAACCTACCACGACATCTCCAGCTCCGGTACAATCCAAGCCAGAAAGCACAACTTCTGTAACCATGGCTATCGATGCAAAGCCAGACGACGATAAGATTGCGTCTATCACTAAGGAGGTTTCATCGCGACCAGCTACGACATCTACCTCGGTTACCACTGAAGTGGCAAGCCCTCCACCAGTTGCTTCGTCTAGTCCTCAGGTGAACAACAACGGAGGGTCATATTTGGAATCCATGTCGTCTGTCTCCACTGACAAACCATCTCTAAAGACTTCTTATTCACCATTTTCAAATTCAAAGAAGGCAGTCAGTAATAATTCTCTGTACGATCCTCCACTTTCAAAATCTGCTGAAATGGAGGAAATAAACGAAGAGCCATGTGCACCTGAGTTTCCTGAAACTTCTCAAGTCGGTGCATCATATCTGGAATCTATGTCAGGAGGAAATGATGGACTGAAGGAATCCTATTCGCCCTTCGGGACACCAAAAGTAGCAGCAAACGATTCTTTGTATGGCCCACCAGTCGTAAAGGAAGCACAATCTAAAATTGAAGTTGCGCCAGTAGTTGATGAAGCAAACGATTTCAATGAGGTAGATGAATCTCCCGTAAACGGAGGATCCTATTTCGATTCACTATCGACAAACGGTGGAAGCGGGGAGTCAAGTTCGAAAGCTTCATATTCGCCATTTGGCGGAACGAAGTCATGGCAAACAACAAGTGACTCATTGTACGATGTGCCAGTCACAGTCAACGCAGACACGACTACGAGCGAAGCTTCGACGGCTGACATTCCAACCGCCGCGAACTCTTCTCGTGGCTCTTACTTAAACGGTTTGAGCGATGATTCGAATTCTCCGTCGGTAGTGAAGAAGTCCTATTCTCCGTTTGGAACGAAGCCAAAAGCAGTTAGAGATGGTGGTTTGTACTCGCCAGGTAACTCATATTAATAGTTCATTTAAATAGCTAAAAACACACGTTGGCATTTCAAGGTCTAACGACACGCATTTTTAATTTTTTCTCCTTTTCAGGGACAATACACGAGACTTCTAAGTATGATGCACCGGAGTCGAAATATGATCTTCCGTTTGAAAGCGAGAGGGATGCAATTCCTGTTTCAAATTATTTGGACCGTCTGCTTATTTCCATTACTTCTAAAACGAGTAGTATCAAAAAATCATTTTCTCCATTTGGCAATGGTAAACCCAAGGCACCCGACAACGACTCTTTGTATAGAGCGCCGGCATTGGATGTTAGCCTTCCATCCGAAGATGAGAGAGATACGATACCAGTGTCAAACTATCTTCAACGGCTGATAGTGCCCTTGAGTGGATCTTCGAATAGTAAAAAATCATTCTCACCATTCGGCTTGGAAAGAGGAAAAAAACCGAAGGCAAATACTTCGAAGAGCGCTTCTTTATACAGCCCCCCTAATCAAGAATCAACACCATCGCATGAGCTACCATCAGAAGAAGAGAGAGATGCTACACCTGCAGCAGACTATTTGGACCGGCTTATTGTCCCTGTAAGTCCTACCTCTGCCTCTATTAAGAAATCTTACTCTCCATTTGGCTCTACAGGAGGAAAAC